TCATTTAAACTTTTTCAACAGCTTATGAAAAGTGTATTATTATTGTTTCCCTTTTCCATTTGAAGAAACAGATGCATACAAAGTTTTGAATCTCGTCGGCCAGGCTCCAGGCTGTGTGTCCTTCAGCCAGTACACTGTCCTGCTTCGATTTAACAAACTCCTTAAATGGCTGCTTCACTTTCTGTGGGTTCAGTGTTTTATCAAGATGGCTTTTTAAATTTATTTTTAGTAGCATTCCACTAGAGTATTTTTAGATATTAATCCCTTTTAATCAAAGTCCGATAACTTGATTATATATATACATTTTAAAATTTTATTTATTTATCTTTAGAAGGGAAGGGAAAGGAAGAGAAGGGAAGGAGAGAGGGAGAGAAATATCAATGTATGATTGCCTCTCATGAATCCACTGCTGGGAACTGGCCCACAACCCAGGCATGTGCCCTGACTGGGAATCGAACCACAATCTTTTGGTTCATAGGCCTGTGCTCAATCCCCTGAGCTACACCAGCCAGGGCTGATAACTTGATTATATTTTTATCTAAAGACTAAAGTCTTCCATCAGAAAAAATATATGAATTGTAATTATGCTTCAAAATTATCCCTTTTGTCTCTCTTCTGAGAATACTATTTGAAAGAGTAGCTTCTAGAGTTATCCTCTGTGTCCTCTTTTCTCCCATTGTTTCTGCCTTGGTCTTGCCCACTGAGTAGCCAGTATCTCTCTCTCATTGGAATTTTCTTCACTAATTTCATTCAGCATCCACTCTGTTGTCCATATTCAGGTAAACTGTCCTGATCAGTTTGTTTCTCTCCTGTGGCTATTGATCTAATCTCACAGATGCAAAATTCTCTTAAATCAACTGAGATCACCATTCAGATATTACCTCATTCTTTGTCTTCTGTTTCTTGCAGCAAATCTCTTTTGCACAGAAACTTTCCCTCAGTCACTCAGGGCTGCTTCCTGCTCAGAGCCTCCAGCAGTGCATGGCTCCAGGCACCCAGTCTCGGACTCCTCTGTAGTTCTACCCTGTCTCCTGTCTGGGACCAAGGTCCAGTGACTCAGATGATGGTGATTGTGGGAGGGCAGCAGCAGTACTGGAGGCTGAGAAGGTGTCTAGGTACTGCTGCACACAGTTAGGCTCAGGCAGTGGCAGGCACACTCCAAAACCAACCTTGTTCCTGGTCAGAGGCTGGGTCAGAGGCCGGGTGTTTGTCAGTATAATGACCTGGGCATACTCATGCTCTGAACAGGTGCTCACAGAGCTCTAGCTTATTTATGCCTGGAGCTCTGCTGGATATGTGGCTGCGTCTTTGGAAATGCAATTCAGGCACCGTTGGCATTCCTTTGGCTTCCTGCCTCAATGACAGGCAGAAGGGCATACTGGGGCTACTTGCTTCCAGGCAGTGAATGGCAGAGTATACTGTGATGTGGCTAAAGAATTACATGGTATCCATTTATACCATTAGCTGATGAACTTTGTGCATCACCAAGGCAAAAAAGAGGAGGCATTGGCTCCCTCTGTCTTCTGACCATCCATCTGTGCAGAGCTTCACTTTTACTAACCATACTTCTCTTCATGCTGCCCTTGTTCAGGCTAAATCAGTGGTTCCTTTGGAGGGTACAGAAAATGTAAATCATTCTAGACCTTGACCTCCTGGCATTGGCTCTATTCAGCAGAAGAGTGGCCTATCCATAGTTTTCTGACACAGTATTAATGAAGTGTGGTCTTTGGACCTGTGGTTATCATCAGCATCACCTGGGGACTGTGGAGATGCAAATGACCAGTGTTCAACTTGGACCTTCTAAATGAGGAATTCCTGGGCTGGCAATCCGTGTGCCACCTAGGTGGGTCTGATACGGTCAAGTGTGAGGATCACAGATCAAGCAGAAGCTGAAACTGCCTTGGTGCCTTCTCTAAAAATGTCTCAAGAAGTGAATTTGAATAGTATGAAGACTCCCGGGAGAGTAGGATGCTCATTGGCAGGTCCTAGACTGGGTTTTTGTGTTTACTTTTCATTTCATTTAACTCAGTGTTTTCCAAACTGATTTGACCATAAATTCTTTAGTTCCATAAAATGCTCTTGGTCCCCACCCCTCAATATATCATTTCTTTTCCCCAATTCAAAACCTCGGTACTTGAAGCTAACACTTCCGAGCTCCAACGTCTACAAACTTGTTCATTACTAAGTGGACTTCTGGCTTAGTATTTCCCACGGGTCCTGGTTGAAGTCCCCGGGCTGCAAATGCACTCATTCAGATCACAGGGTGAGCCTGCTAGAGTGAAAGTTGTAGAAAGATTATAGACGTTGGCCTCAGTTTTTTCATCAATAAAATGGGAGAATAAATAATAATAGACAACTGACTGAGCAGTAGTGTTTCAAATGTTAAGTAAATAGTATATGTAGAAGATCTTTGTAAATTGTATCATGCTACAAAGTGTTCACAATTATTATGCAAAAAAATTAAGTTTGTGTTTTCAGGAGCCCTGCCCCTTTGCCTGGCATGTAATAGGTGGTCAGGAAGTTTTGGTTTCCTTTCGAATGTCATGGCCCCAGAGCAGCAGGATAATGCTTAGTCCTGCGGGACCTTGTTTCAGCTGACAGATAAGAATAATTGTAAGTAGCACAGACACTGTTTTATGTTCTGTCTTCCTCAGTATTGATTTGTTTATCAAAAATTTTATTTATAAGAAGCACAAAAATAAACCAGCCCAAATTCTGCAGGATGTGTCAGGTTATGAATTAATGAGATCCAAATTTAAGAGGGCTCTGAACTGTTACTTCCTTTCTGACTCTTCCATTGTCAGGAGGTGGGGTGGGGAGAAAGCAGTGGCATCACAGGACAAGGGTACCCCTCCTCCTGGGACTGTTAGTGCACCTCTCCCCACAGCTTGTTTCCTCTCTTTTTCACCCCTGATGAGGACGAATTTTTCCAAGTACTAGAGTCTGGTTTCCAGAGCTGTGATGTGGCTTGGGGTATGGGCAGAAGCCTCTTAGCTCAGCTTCAGTAATTCTTTCTGTTCTATGATATTGTGGGTTGTAACACAGTATTTTATGGCAGGAGAGTCCTTACAGAAAGCTGTGTGCCCCAAGGAATGAGGTATTTACTCTAGAGTGGAGGGTCTGAAGGAAGCAGTGGTAGCATTTTCTTATGTTCCTGTTGTGCCAGGACCTGGTGCTCAGTTTGGTCTCTGGACCTAGCAGTGTCAGCATCCCAGGAGACTTGATAGAATTGTAGAATCTTGAGCTGCATCCCAAGTGGACTGACCCAGATCTCTGGGAGCAGGGCTGGAAGTCTGTTTTAATATGCCCCCTGGCTTTTCTGATGCATACTCAGATTTGAAAACCACTGATCTGGGAGAAGAGGGGAAGAGGGAGAACCATGGAATTTGAAACTGATATGTTGGTTGATTCTGGGCATCCAATGTCCCAGCAAATGGTCATTAAATCCATGTGAATAAACTAAACTTAGATTGTGTCTCCCTTTACTCTAGGGCAATGGTTCTTCCTGCTTGTGATGCCTAGAGACCTTCTTGAAAATGCATTTCCTTAAGCCCAGACTCTGACACACTGAGTTGAAATCTTGGAGTGGTATCTAGACAGCTGTGTTTTTAAAAGCTTCCAGATAATTCCAACATGCACTCAAGTTTGAGACCTACTACAGCACAGGGTGCCCTGCTAAGAAAAAATGAGATATAGGTTTCCTTTCCATTTATCACATGTTTTCCATTAGAAATTTATCTTACTTGTTTATATTATGAAAATTACATATTCATAATAGGAAAAATGGGAAATAGAGAAAAGTTGAAAGGAGGGAAGAAAAAAGATTTGTGTTCCAGCTATTCAAAGACAGTTGTCAGTGTCGGGTGTGTTTTCCTTTAATGTTTTTGCCTGATGTGAATTTTTTATAGAATTATGATGATATTTACTATAGCATTTTCTGGACACTTTTTAAGTTAACATTACATATTCATTCATTCTGCACATTGTTGTAATTTTAAGTACAGTTTAATATGCTCTTGTGGGAGTATTACAGAAACATGGCTTCTGCCCATTTTCATATGCACATACCCTGGGAGGGTGTTTGGTGTTCTTTCTTTCTCGACAATGTCAGTATTTCAAGCATATTGTGAAATCCTATTACAAATGTCAGAGGCAGAACATTAACTCTCTTTCTCTTTGAATGTCTTCTTCCTGGGTTCCAACCTGCACTGTATTTTCCTGCACCACCCCCCAGGTAGATGGGTACATTAGACTGCTAAGGGATCAGATCTTATTGCAGATATTCCAGACAAGAGAGCACAGAAATCTTTTTCTAATGTTCTCTAACCATTATTCCACTTGGCATCAGATGACAAGGAGTTTCCCCTGGCTCGCAGCTCCAGTTCTGTAGGACGTGGTATGATTCATAAACATACACATATGTAGAGCAGTTCTGACCAGACCCTACCTCTGTATGTCAGAAAGAAAGAAAACTAATGAAAGAGGCAAGAAAGGGAATGAAGGAAGCTGAGGCAGAGGAGAGGATGATAGGGCAGGTAGACTGGTGTTCAATATGCTCAGTCAGAAATGCCAAAGTCACACCATGTGTCTCCCTTTCCATTCCCTCTGCTTTCAACATAACCTCCCAGAGCTTTCTTTGTTGTATAGTGTGTGCATGTGTACACACACACACATATATTCACTTTGTTGCACGGTAATATATATCTAAATATATTTATATATTTATATAATATATGTTAGTATATAAATATTTATATGGTAAATATATACTTTATATATATTTATAAAATATATATTATATAGCTGTATAATATATATTATACATGTATATAAATTTAGAAAATTATATGCACATATCTTCTCTTAACTGCTTCTACCTTCTGACTTAACTGCTGATCTGAGTTAAGTTCAGCGCTGTGGTCAGGTGAGCTGGAGCTGCAACCTTTGTCTTCTTGTGGTGTCATGGATGCGCCAGGTAATTCTGCCCCGTCTTCTTGCAGGACATTATGGGAAGGATGCTTACCGAAGTGGAGGAGCTGATCTCCATAACTTCATCTCATCTGGATTTGTCACATTAGGAAGAGGACACACGAAGGGTACAGTGGAAACCATTTTTTACTAACATACAGAGGTTACCTAGGGAAACCCCCATCTGAACGTGAAGATGGTGTGGAGGCCAGAGGCTTGCCTGGGACAGGAATAAATGGGGTGGTTCAGTTGCGGCTTGTGCTGGTGAATGCATGGCTCTGATGGGAGTGGCCAGGAGGTCACAAGCATGACTGTAGAGGGCAATAATAGACTTCCAAGAGACATGCACCCTGCTCCGCCCACAGAGTGGAGAGGACACAAGCCACCGGCTCCCTGTGGGAGGGGCCGCAGGCTGGCGGCGTGGTGGAAACACTGCCAGTGGACATGGCAGCCTTTGCAACGTGTTCCTTGTCTTCTTGGCTATTATTCCTTTTTTTTTAAGCCACATTTTATAAACTGATGTCAATGCTTTTTACTGTGGGTATTGAAGCCAGCAAGCATGTCGAGAGTTTCAGCATCCTACATGTGTCTGTGTAAACTCTCTCTGATGTGGACACAAAGGGGTACACAGACCTTCGAGCCACAAGCTGAAATAACGTAGCATTTCTGCTGAGCCGCTTTGTGACCTAGCTGACAGCTTGCAGAGCATCTGTGCAGGGGGGCTAGAATCCTCCATTCTGTCTTTTGTTTCAACAGAGTCCTGCTAGCGTTGTGAGCATTCTGTCATGTCAAGAGTAACTGGCTCTCTAACTCCTTTGATTACCTCCCAACACCTGTGTACTGTTATAGAACAACTGTGAACTCTGTGTGGGGATGGCACATCCCTGTCTTCCTCTGAAACGTGTCTGTTTTAAGTGTGAGTGAACAAGGAACTCTGCAATATTTTCTTACATTCCATGCACCTACTTTTTAAATTCCCTTTGTGATGTTTGCTCATCCTATAGAAAAAATATCTGTATCTATGTATGTATTTTCTGTTGTGTCTCTTTGTGTCTAAATAAAGTTTATTGAGGATACAGGTGGCATTTGTGGCTAAACAAGTGTTACAGAATCAAATCAGGACCAGTGGCTGCAGAGGAGAAGTCGGGCTGTCCAGCGAACCACTGAAAGGCACAGTCCTAGTCATACCTCTGTCCCCTCACACTTGGGCCGGCTGGCCCCCATGCCATCCACTTTGTGATAATTATCTATCACCATGAAACCATCACTCTAAAATGTAGCATTTTAAAGTGGTAATAAACATTTATTAACCTGAATAGTTTTTGCAGTTCAGGAATCTGGGAGCTGCTGAGCTAGGTGTTTCTGGCTTAGGGTCTCTCACAAGACCGTAGTGAAGGTGTAAGCAGGGGCCACATTGCCTCTGAATGGGGCCAGGGCTGGGGGACCTGCTTCCGAGATGGTTCTCTCACATGGTGCTGGCTGTGGGCAGGGGCCTTCATTTCTTCCTGTGACTACTCAAGTGTCTTCACAGTATGGTGTTGGGGCCTCCTCAGAGTGGGCAATCCGAGAAAGAGAAAGACAAAAGCCACAGTGTCATTTATGAGCATCATTTTCACAGTAGTCTATTGATTATACAAGTCATCCCTATTCAGAATGACAGGAGACTACATGAGGGTGTGAATATCAGGTGCTGAGGATCATTAAGGGCCTCTCTGGTAGCTGGCTGCCATACTCCCATGACCCCAAGAACAGAGCTATGCACGTGGATCTTTCAACAGAGCATAGCAACTCTTACTCGGGTTTACGAACTGCAGTGGTTTCTGCCCTAACCCCTCCTCCTTGTAGGTAGGTGGTCACCCTGAAACACCAAACAGTTCAATCAATGGAACTCATTTTACACACACACACACACACACACACACACACACACACACAGAGTTGTGGCTCCAGTCCTTTGTGCTATTTCACAGACCCCGAAGGCATCAGGAGATAGAAGCACATACTGGCTGCAGGGAGGACGGCTCCAGTTTCAGAGAGCGCTTGCTCTCCCTGTGTTACAGGAGAAACACTGAAACTAGCACGTCCCAGTTAACCTGCCCAGGGAACATCAAACAGGTAGCCTTGTTCTGTTCCAAATCCAGGCCTCTTCCCTAGGCTTCGACTCCCAGATACTGGGTGTCCTGCCTTTAAACAATGGGAGGGGATGAGGCAGTGTTTGGGCTGAAGCTCCGTGGGAGCCACACCTTGGTGGGCACTCAGTAACCAATGGCTGTTTCTTATTAGAGGTACAGTTTGCAAGACAGGAAGTGACAAAAAGGACATGGACCAGGAAGTAGAGCATTAACAGAGTGTTAGCACGGTCAGTCCTTTCAGAAAGGAAGTCTATTCCCCTCTAATAATTTTTCAGGGTCTGTCTATACCTACAGAGAACCTCTCCCATTTAGGGAGTTTTTTTTAAAATCTGTCCGGCTGTTTTTTTTTTTTCTTGAGTCTGGTAGAAAGAGCCAGAAGAATCTTTTCAGAAGCCCTTACACATCAATAGTGTAGCTCCAATGACCCCACTAGCACTCCGCAGGCTGCCTCAGGCCTCAGTCCTGAAGAGACTAAGTGCAGCACTCAGTGTGGCTATCTCCTGCCCTCAGGCAGTTTGCAGAGTGTGATGGGTGGGTTATAGCCATCCCTCTTCTAGTATTCTGCTCTGTTCACTACATCCTTTCCACCCTTCCAGGGGCCAGTGAGATGGGGTTGTTTTTATGGGTGAGAGAGGGATAGGGAGAGAGATCTCAAAGCCTTTGTGAAAAGGAGGGAGCTCCAAAGCAGTTGCCCCTCGTAGGAGGCAAACACTGTTGCCTGTGTAGCCGTTCATTTCAGGTAAGCACATAGGCTGAGTGTGCCAGACACTGTCCTAGGCATTGAGGGTGCAGCAGACAGTGAGAGACAATAGAAATCGAGAAAGAAAGAAGTCAATATGTCAACATGGAGTTAAGAACTATGGAGCAAAATGAGGCAGGGAATGGAAAGGCTGACTTCTCAATTTTATAAGAGCATCCAGAAGGGTTCAGAAAAAGGTGACATTTGAGCAAAGACTAAGGAAGCAAAGGGTCAAGGCAGCTGGCTTCCTGGGGAAGGTTATCCCAGGCTGAGGGAGCGGTGGTACAGCACCCACCTGGCTTGTCTGGGCACAGTTGTGAGATAGGAACAGACAGAGCAGCAAGGGTTGGGTCAGAGAAGGGCTGGGGCCTGACCACACAGGGCCTGTGGGGCCATTGAAGGAACTAGATTCCAGGTAGGGCCAGAAAAAGTGCAGAACATTTTCCACCTGAGGCATTAGGAAGGTGGAAGGCTGGGAGAGACAGGGTTTGGGCAGAGGTTGAGGGTGAGGTAATATTATTCTGACTTCATATTAGTTTTAGATGCTTATTAATAATCCATGTGGTGCCCTGGTTGGCATGGCTTAGTGGATTGAGCACCGACCTGTGAACCAAAGGGTCACTGGTTTGATTCCCAGTCAGGGCACATGCCTGGGTTGTGGACCAGGTCCCTAGTGAGGGGCGTGCAAGAGGCAACTACACATTAATGTTTCTCTCCCTCCTTCCTCCTATCTCTAAAAAAAATACATTTTTAAGAATCCATGTGGAAATGTCAAGTTCACAGGAGATGTCCTGGCTGGCAATATAAATGTGGGTGTTTCCCTTTCATGAAGCCAGGAGTCTGGGTGAGATCAGCGAATGAGGAGGGACCCCGAGAGGATACTAGCCAAGTGTGGGGAGCCAGGAAGCAAGAAAACCATGGCAGACTTGTGTCTTGGACATCAAGTGGAAAACAAACGAGGGGTTCCAAGGGAGGGAGCAAGCTGCTACCGTGTGGCATAGAGAGGTCCGATGAGATGAAACCTAAAGTGGACATGGGTGCAACATGAAGGTCACTGGAGGTCATCGGTGACTCAGGCAAGAGTACTTTTGGGGTGGCAGTGCACACATCTGCCCAGATGGATGCAAGAGAGATTGGGTAACATCTGGATGTGATTCTATGTGACCTTGGCAAACCGAGTAATGGGAAGAGAAGGGTTCACTATGCCAGTCTCTCTATTTTGGGATATCTTTGAAATGCTTCACAATAAAAAGTATAAAAGATTTTAAAAATAAGAGAATGGAAGAAGAGGAATAGGAGATGGCAGGTTTAGTCTACAGAGTTTTAATGAAAAGGAGAGTAGAAAATGAGGGCAGTAGCTGGGGGGCGTATGATTAAAGAGTTTTTGTTTGTTTGTTGCTAAGATGGGAGAAATCACAGTATACTTGTATGTACAGGAATGATCCAGTAAAGACAGAAAAATTGAAACTGCAGGTAGGGAGGGGGCTTCAGAAGTAGTGTCCTTGACAGATGAAGCCTCTGCCACCCAGGTGGAGGGGCTGGCTTTAGAGTCACAGATGGGAGGTGGAGACTATATGACCACAGTGCATGTGCAGGGACATATATGCGATCGGTGCTCAGTGATTTTGGAAGCAGGTTCATCAGCTGTCAATGAGAGTTAGAGAGACCAACCATCCCTGTTTGCCCAGGACTACTGCAGTTTTAGCAACAGAAAGTCCTGTGTCCTCAGACACCCCCTAGTCTCTGGTAAAAGGGGGTAGCTGGTCACCCTCATGAAGGTGACTGAACAGGCCTGCCTGCACAGCATCTTTATCACCCATCTCTAGAGCCCACAGTGGACTGAAGACACTGCTGCCTTGGCCTGACACCTGCATAGCCTCTGAGAACTCAGAGCCTTCAGACTAGATTTCCCTGAGCGTGTCACCTGGGAGATGGAGAGAAGCCTGGAGAGCAAGAAGTGCTGCCCTGTGGGGACCATTCCAGACCCCAAAGAAAGACCCTGAATAGAATGTCTTCATTTTGTCTAAATGATGCCCCCTTGGGGACTAGGCTGGATATGGGCCATCCCCCTGCTTAGTGACTCCCCATGGGGCCTGAGGCAGCAGGTGAGGGAGTGAAGTAAATGCTGAAGTGGTGGGGGCATTGGAGCAGGGGCTAAGAGCAAAGCTGGAATGCCAAAATCCTGATGCCAATTTGGAAGTCTCAGCAACAAGGGCAGTTGCAAAGATGGAAGCCTGGCAGCTTGAGTCCCCAGATC